GAACCATATCTAAATAACATGAATTTCCCTTCATAACTGACTGCACAGCTTGTCAGCAAATGATGAAAAAGACAAACTTCAAATTACTAATGTTGATATTTAGAAAAATCTGAGACCATTTCATGTTTAAGACTGAAATCTTTTACAATTCTTCCAATTCTAGCAATATCCACTTAAGTCTGTATTGAAATTGGGTAAAAAAATCTCCAATTAAAAACAATGTTTCAGTATAAAGACACAAGTACTCTGCTTTCACTTAAACAATGTCTCAGTATAAAGACACAAGTACTCTGCTTTCACTTCCAAACCAAGTTTTTCTAACTAGAATCTTTTGTCTATGAAGCAGACCAGTTGACAAAGATTACGCTGCAACACATGTAGCTGTAAGCATCAAGTAACAGAGCGATAATATAGTGAAATTAAACATTCCGCACTAGCGTTAGCTTGTACAATATAGTTTCAGCATTTTGCCTACAGATTTCCAAGACTAAGTGCTAACGGTGTTTGGCAATGTGGAGGAAGGGGGGAGAGGTTGTTTCTGCACAAAGGGTAGCTAATTCCTAGACTGTCAATATTCAGCCTTGGTTAAAGTAAAAGAGAGAGAAAAGTAAAGAACCATAAAGGAAAAAATGTAAGAGAAACTAAAAAATGGAAAACCCATAAAACAACCAAACTGCTCTACTTGCAGTATCCTTTTCAGAATAAAATGCATACCTAGTATAATGAGGTTCACAAACACGTTGGTTTCTCATAAATATTCCTGGATGAATACATGCACATGTTAATACTATAACTTGACTGTGCCAGGAGGTAGACTAGCATTGCAGGTTCGGTAGTACCGTAGGTCATTGATAAATCGCTGGACATTCTGGGTAAATGTTGGCAAGTCCTGGTAAAAACAGGAGTTGCATTAGTGATCACTTTCTATATCTATGAAATTTATAATTGTTATTATCAATTCACCATCTCTGTCTATTTGACTATTAGTAACTATGTTCAGCCAATAAATAAATAAATACTGGACACATTTTTTTTTTCTATGATAAAAAAAATTACTTACTGTATCAGTTTTGAAGTTCTCTTTCAGTGTTGTTCTTTGGTCATTATCTAGCCCATCCATATTCTGAAGAAAGTGGACAACAAAGGCCGAGAAAAAGGTGTTGAAATCTACAGAGGCCATGTTGTACACCGTGATAGTTATCTGTGGAATGTATAAGATACATATCTGTCATATCAATGTGATCTTTTCTCACTGGTCCATCTATTCCTCTTTATTTGTGAAAAAGAAACTTGATCAATTACGTATTTCCCCAAGAATAACTCAAGCCTGACTTTTTGAATCAGCAACAATATTTTACTTAACTTGTATACTGCAAAACTAATTGTTTCTGCCTTATAAGGTAAAGCATGTCATTATCACTTGTAGAAAGTTCATCAGAGCACAACACAATAAGCACACTAAATTCACAAACTGCACAGTCATACAAATCAAAGAAAAAATACACTGTAGCATCAACACTAAGTAATTACATTATAAATATTTCTTCTGCAGCATGTATAAACCTAGTAAGTCAGACCTACCTCCTCCTGAAGTAGGTCCTGAGATCGATGCACCAGCACCTGCAGCAGCACGGTGATGAACTGGCCCAACATGGAGTTTCGGAATACACCCTGGCAATACAGATTTTGTTTCAGATTGTGTGGTATAACTCATGGATTCATTAAGACATTTGGCACGTATCACCACAATCATGGAAGGATAAAATGTTGCTATTCAGATGAATGTGCAAATAACTCAATAACAGTGCCCCTTCATGTTCAAGATGCATAACAGATAAAATATACAAATTTAAGTACAAAAGTGTGTACACATATGAAAAACAGAGTGAGGAGAAGGGAGGGAGGGAGGGGAGGGGAGGGGAGGGGAGCGGGAGGGAGGGGAGGGAGGAGAGGAGAGGAAGGAGAGGAGAGGAGAGAGAGAGAGGAGAGGAGAGGAGAGGAGAGGGAGAGAGGAGAGGAGAGGAGAGGAGAGGAGAGGAGAGGAGAGGAGAGGAGAGGAGGGAGGGAGGGAGAGAGGAGAGGAGAGGAGAGGAGGGAGAGGAGAGGAGAGGAGAGGAGGGGAGGGGAGGAGAGGGGAGGGGAGGGGAGGAGAGGGGAGGAGGGGGAGGAGAGGGGAGGAGAGGGGAGGAGAGGGGAGGAGAGGGGAGGAGAGGGAGGAGGAGGGAGGAGGGGAGAGGAGAGGAAGAGGAGAAGGAGAGGAGAGGAGAGGAGAGGAGAGGAGAGGAGAGGAGAGGAGAGGAGAGGAGAGGAGAGGAGAGGAGAGGAGAGGAGAGGAGAGGAGAGGAGAGGAGAGGAGAAGGTGAGGTGAGGAGAGGAGAGGAGAGGAGAGGAGAGGAGAGGAGAGGAGGGAGAGGAGAGGAGAGGAGAGGAGAGAGAGGAGAGGAGCGGAGAGGAGAGGAGAGGAGAGAAGAGAAGAGAAGAGGAAAGAGAAGAGAAGAGAAGAGAAGAAGGAAGAGAAAGAGAAGAGAAGAGAAGAGAGAAAGAGAGAAAGAGAAGAGAAAGAAGAGAAGAAGAGAGAAGAGAAGAGAAGAGAGAGAGGGAGAAGAGAAGAGAGGGAGAAGAGGGGAGAAGAAAATGAAGTGAAAAAGAAAAGAAAAAGAAAGAAAAAGAGAGAAAGAGAAGAGAAAAAAAAGAAAGAGAATGAAAGATAAGACAGACATAAATATAGAGTAAAATACAATGATACACTTTCCTCAACCTACCTTGTGATACAGCTTGTATTTTGAGTTCAGCGTTTCCAAGGCTTCTAAATTCTGCTTGAAGATGGTGATATCTGGCTGCATGAATGACTGGCCAAAGGCTTGCATAATCTGAATAAACTGAGCTTCATTTTCGATTGAGTCCCAGTTTCCAGCTCCTAGTGATATGTGGACAGATGGTCTGTTGACAGTAAAAAATCTAAGTAAGTACATACATAATAACGGCAGTGCGAAACAAAATATTAAGAACTACTTAGTCACAAAATTTGATCAAATGTTAAAACAGAATAACTAACACATGATGAGACTATCTACTACAGGCTAAAAACCTGTTTGCATGTGCATATATGCGTGTGAGGCAACTATGTAACATGAAAGTTGGATAATGAAGTGCAACATCAATCTCTGTAAAATCATTATTATTACTTACCTGTCAATTATTAAATGATTATTACAACCTGTCATCCTGTCATTGATCTTCACCAACTATCTAGTGCAACTTTACCTCCATAAATATAAATTAGAGTACAGGTCAATTACACAGAGGAATAATTAATCAATATCAAGCTAAATCATTTCCAGTTACATTAGAGCAGAGGTTTGAGTCAAGTGGTCAATACCTAGTGAGTTCTTTCTTGACTAGTACACACATCGATAAAAAAAAGCCACCCACCTGAAGAAATACTTCCAATTATGTTCTAAGAGGCACCTGAGGAGCTCAAACAATGGACCTTTTACTTCAGGTGAAGCACGCTCAGACACAACAGGGTAAATGTGGTCCATGCACAGTGTGATGGTATTGGGAATGAACCTCTTGAAGGACTGACCGGGTTCACTGACGATAAGTTCTAGTAATTTTAGGAATCTGTAAAACCGGACACAGTGATATGTAATGGTCTCTTTAGTGATCCCTTGCTAACTCTTACTAATTCCTTTTTATGATACATAAAAATGGGGTTAGTATAAATTCACCTTTTCATTTTCACGACCAAAGAAAGATGAAAAGAAAAAGAATCTCGTTTCTTTTATATAATACATAAGAAATTTCCAAAATCTATTTTCTATTCCATTTCCTAAAGATAAATTAAAAAGATGAGTAAAAAACGATATCAACAGTATCAATAGTTACAATAATAATGGTAAAAACTGCAAACAATACACTACATCAGCCGAGACCAACCCCACCCTTGCACAACCTACTTCTCTAACACCCTGACAGCCGCAGGGTTATCAGCTGAGATGGCCAGCTGAAGATGGTGGCGGGTGGTGAAGACGTCCAGGAAGGTCTGGATGGTGGCTTCAACACGCGCAGGTCCCAGCTGGACTCGAAGAACTTGCATCACCACTACCATCAGCGCCAGGATCTCTTCACAGACACCTGGGGAGGAAACAAAAAAAAATTTTGGTGTTACATAAGTTTAACAGAGAAATATATACTCTCTTCCACTGCAAATTGTTGCAAAATATTAATAAAAACTGACATTCACTGTATTGTCTTTCAAGTGTTCTTTCATTTAATTTAAATACAGTACTACTCGTCAAGTCTTTTCTATATAAATGTGATCTCGAGACCCAGAAACAATAAATGCCTTTCAGTTATCTTTCACAAATAACCTTGTGAATGTGGTATGAAAGTCAAAATCAAGCTGCTGCTTGCACTTTAGTAAGAAAATAAACTTTTGACTAAAACTTTTGACTAAATTCTTGGTATTTCCTCTGATTTCTTACACTAGCTTTATGAACCACAGAAAAGTTTTTTGTCTTTTTTCTATATGTCTTCATTTATATATATCTATATATATATTGTAACTATAATATTCTCTCTCCCTCACTCCTTCCCTCATCAATTTAAGTCCTTGTCTTCTAGGGTATAATATAATAAAACATCATATACACAAATCTTTTATTTTGTTTTTCTTTAAATATTTTTTCATAATCTGAAAAATACAGCAAAGTAGGAAACAAAACCATCTTAATCCAGATGATAAGAGAGACTAAAATAAAAGATGTAGCTCCAAGCCTTCAATAAAATAACAAATCAAATAAATGATGTATCCAAGCCTGGAACTATGTAAGGCTGCCCCTTTTGGTACTACATATCAGTTTTATGTCACATTTCTATTTCAAAATGTTGGTTGCAGAAATGAACTAAAATCTGCGAAAATTGGTTGGGAAGATTTATATGAGAATGAATAATATTTTTTGAGGGTAAACTAAAATGCTGATCTCCATATTCCAAAAACAATTATCTGAAACAGAATCAGATTAAAATGGTAAAATTCAGTCATCCAACATGCCTTATGCAATTAATCACTTTCAATCATACCTTCTCAGTAAATATAAGAAAAACATTCTGACACAACTGTGTGTAACTTAAATAAAATGGCTAATTATCATAGCTCAAGAATTAGCATTATCTTAACTGACTACAGTTAGACAAACAATTACAATATTTTATTGATCCCTTGGGGATAATTCCACAAACAATGTGACACTCAAAAATGTGAAAATTATTTCTCCTGATCAAACCTGTTGTCTGATTATCCACACAACAGTGAAAAATTGTTCAGGGAAAAGAAAATCAAATCATTACTGAAAGAAAACCATACTTTTAAAAAGATCTCCAGTAAGATGATTTTGCAAACTGCACTTGGGAGACTCTTCCAGCCAAGTACATGCAGCCCATCACATCATGCTTCAAACTTTATGAATGCCATCAAGCCATTCAACAGGCATTCATTCATTTTATCATTTTTCTCCTAGAGTCATTTCACAAAATGTAAAACAAAGCACTCAACAAACCAAACCATCACTTCTGAAGACCGCAAAGATAGAAAATACTTTGGAAGGACAGTGATAGGTTCTAACAAAGCAGCAACAATAATCGTCTGTGGAATTACCCTTCTATAAATCAGCTTCAAGGTTCACTTACTTCCAGGGTGGAATGTAAGATGACCCTACAAGGGACATCTCTGTGAGCTCTGGCCTTTTGTACACTTCATCAAGCTGAAATGATGATGGCACAGCAGCCATGGGGTGTTTAGAATGTGCAAACTTTACTATGTGAATCAACAGAACGCTGTTGAAATGGCAATAGTTCTATTATTTTACACAGCAAGGTGTTCACTTACTTGAATGCTGGACATACACTGGGAACAGCAGTATGGCCTGATGGATTATGTCTTGGATGCAGTGGTAGTACAGCTCTCGGCTCGCTTTGTCAGTGCTGTTCAGTTCTTCCACTTGGTACCTTATGATGGACAGTGTATCACACAACTTTGGTGCTACTGTGGATGCAGAAAGAGGAATCTCACTTCACTGAAATTCTTTCAACTCCTGTATAAGCAAAGATTGTAAGTTCCAGACAATCATCAAAATATATAACTGATAAACACAAGCATGTCAGGAGGAACCTGTTAAGAAATGCGGAAAAGACAATAAAGAATTATTGTAAAAGGAGGACCCCGCATTTGACAAAGGCTAATGGCAACAATAGCGAATAGTTAAAGAAAGAGAAAGCCTAAGCTATATCAGTAGACTAAGTAACTATGAAAAAAACGGGGAGAGGAACAATCACTTGTGCAAATCATATATAACTTACTGCTCTCCTGCATCGTCTTGTCATCTGCTAAGGTTTGGACATTTATCTTACGGACATCACTAGTGAATGAGTTAGTGAATGATGATGATGATGGTGAGATGATGCTTTCTAGTTTCTAATCTGTGGTCCACAATAAAGCTCGGCCACGGGAGTAAGAGGAAGTTCACTAGAGCACGTAATAATAACCGCCGGACCTGCAAGAAATTTGCATAAATGTCATGCGAGCTCACTGAGAGGAAAAAAAGAATCCTGAAGCTGATGGTGGTGGTTTTACTTGCTGGCAAACTTTGATAGGAGGCCTTATATCTTGATACTATTTTTTGGTTATATTATGTAGTAAGCCTATTCATCATTAAAACAGAGCTTTGTTATAATTAGTATCTCGTTACAATCTAAAGCTAATGAATTAATTCAATTATAAACAATTTACATCAAAAGCAACTGAACATGAAAACAATTTTTCAATGCAACATCAATCAAAGGTAAGAAAACAACAATTCATAACAAATAAAATGCCCCAACCAGTTTTGACCCCAAACTACTAGGAATCCTGCTCCAACGGTGAGAGAGATCCCTCCATACCTTAACATCTGAAGAAACAGATGGTGCCTGAACATAGAGAGACTGCACTTGGTTCATCTCAAGTGCCACTGGTGACCGCACCATCACAGAGAGGGACAGCAGTAATTGCACTCCACAGTTCACAATTAGTCCTGGGGCCTACATTACCGAAACAAAAGTGTCTATTTTAGTAATACCTTCATTACATATAACAAGCACTTTTCAAAGTCTAGTTAGGGGTCTCTCTACTGCACATTATTTATTTCCAAAATCTGATGATGCACTTATATAAATTTAATTATGCTAAGAAAAGACTGCCAATATTGATGTCAACAGAGGATAATGCACAATTATCAGTGGCAAAGTCAACTACCTACAAGAGTAAAATAAGTTATCCAGCACTTAAATATGAAAGTGAAAAACAAACTGCTCTTTAAAACTCACCCCAACATTGAGCACATTAGTAGCTGCGACTAGCATCTGTTTATTGATAGTATGGCAGGTATCCTGGTGCTGATGTGTCTGTGTGCCTCCAGGATACACTTGCACAAACTGCTGACCGTATAACTGAGACAGCCAGTGAACCCAGGCTCGCAGAGTCGACAGAACCTGGGCATGTCTGTGAAAAAAGTGTTGCATGAACAAGGTCGGTAACATTCATAGTCTTATACTGATACATCAAGAGATATTTTGCAATACAGAGATAGCTCACCTAAAATCTTACTAATGAATTCTATGATTTAAGAAGTTAATATGAGAATAAACTTCTGGTACTCTAGTCTAAATCAATATCTCCAAACATATATATTTTACTGGTATTTACAAAGGCATGGGAAAAGGGTACTTACACTTCCACAAAGTCTGAATGCAAAACATCCACCGCTGTCTCCACCTCAAACAACTTTAAGCCTGTGCTGAAATTTGCCATTTCCACAAGCCTGAAATACATTGAAATACATTATCATATTGTTAAAGCTGAGCACATATCTGTTCTGTATATATAAGATCTTAAACTATATACTTAAACATCAATAAATTCTGTTGAGATACTACATAACTTACTTTTCTATGACTTGTATAGCTGTTGCCGACCTCTTGGGCAACTCTTCCCCTAAAAAAAGGGTTGAAAATCGACCAATAGCCTGAAGGAGTGAGGATAAATCCCGTAGGAGGCAATGAAGTCGTGGGCACTCATGCTCTGCTGAAATATTCAGTCTCCGTCTGCCATTTTGTTCCACCATGTTTGACTGGAGGGTAAGGTAGATTTTCGTGGTCTCACACCAGGGATCATACTGCAATGGAGAGGTTCTTTTATTTTAGAATATGAGGTTATAATGTGCCCTGAAAGTATGTTTCATGTACTTTCACAGTTATGCTACTAAACCATTTGTAAAATCTTACCAATAAAAGTTCATAAAACGTAACATAAGATGGATTACAAGAATTCACACATAAAATGACACGCACATTTTTACACATAAAAATCAAGAAAGATGAAGAAAGCCAAACAATACCCACCACTAACGTAAATATTTGGTCTGGCAACAAGTCTGCAATCTTGGCCAGTAACTCCAAGTTCCTTGTGAAGAAGGAATGCCACTCAGACACTTCATCACTAGTTCCGATTTCTCCATAATAGGACTCGCAGCCTTCCGAGATCTCCTCACTGATCTCGTGATCAAGCTCCTCTAGTTCAGCCTTGGGTTGTAGAGGTTGGAAATTTTCATTAATATTAACATTACATGTTTACCTTATTTTCATTTTGTAAGTCAGTAATATGAAAGATGACAAAAATGCAATTAAAGATAGGCAATCTTATAACTGTTCTATTTTCTTAAAAGTTCATCAAAACACGTTTTGATAAATATTTAATCAAATTAGTTTAGTTCAGTTCAACCATACACAAATTTTACAAACCTGGTTGTGTCTCAGCTGTATCTTGTGCAGAATCCCTTGAGCAAGTGATATCAAAGCATCTTCATACCTGCCACAGAGAGAATTCCTGTTACATAGTCACACCTCAGTAATCTTTTTTTTTCTCTACTGCCATAAAACCAAAATTGTGTAAAATATAAATAAACAAAATCATACATTTCCAGCTATTCTAATACAGAATCTAATATATAATGAATAACAACTAATTGTGTATATATTGGTAATGTTAACAATATTAGGTCCCACAAACACCTTTATCTCTTCCATGAACACATTTGAAAACATAAAACAATAGGTCTAAAGAAAATATCCTAAAAATATGCAAAACCATTTCACAAAACTCATAATGTCAAACATTACATCCAAATACCAAAGTGAAGCAACATTGGTGATGGCAATGATAGTTATACTGATAAAGACAGATGAGGGACACTCCCAGCCTCACAACTGGCTATAAGCCAAGATATAGAGTTGAACAACAATTGCTTAACACCTGCATATGTGCACTTAAATACTGGTAAACAACTCTTTTTTTTTTTTTTTTTTGCTGCATTAGTATAGTTAAGTATCTTGAAACCCTCTACCATGATTCAAATTAAGGTGTACAAGAATGTGGACACCCAAAGTTATTGTGGCCGGTATGGTATCACTTTGAAATCACTATTGAAACTGTACCAACAAGCATTCCTTACCTTGAAACTGCATTTCTGTCCTCGGCTCCTATAATCTTGGATGAAAGATGGTCTAGGAAAATGCCCCATACATCCAGGCAATTGAAATAGGCCTCGACAGAATGCTGATGGAATGTATATCGGAAGAGAAGAGAGAGAAACTCAAGGACTGGGAACTGTGAATTATTTTCAAATCTTCGGAGATGAACGCTCACAAATAACCTCAGAAACTCTGAGAATTTGTCAATATAGCTGGAAATAAAAAAAATTAAAAAGTAGAATTAAAATCAGATGCTGGAATATATGATTGACTTATATTTTCAGAGTAAAAAAAGACACCTAGTATCAAAGTAGCATCAGAACCCAAGTGATAATAAAAAATTATGAAAAATGTAATAATAGCAGTTCTAATAATAAATGCAGGTGATATAATATTATATATAATTAAGTATATTATATATATATATATTATA